CCGATAACTTGACACTCGTACCTCCAGGATGACCTCATTGCCGAACCAGCAGTAGCAAAACGTCTGGATTGTCAGACTCGTGCAGTAAAATATCGTAAATACATACGCCGCATCACTGAAACTCATATTAACTAATCTGTAGACACTCAGGCCGACTACGAAGCAGCTGATCGAATACTGAACGAATATCACGTAGAAAATGATCTCGTTGAAAGATTTCGCGAATCTGAAAATCACTCCACGATATGAGATACCAGTTTTTCGGTGATATCTCGAGAACTGAAGGGTTTACCGAAAATTTCGTCACCACCTTTCTCGAAGAGGTTGATGAGATCTCCAAAAAAGGTCATAACAAAAATTTCGGTATCTTCGTTATTCTCCGAGATATCACCGAGTATGTGCGAGTAAATGAGACACGAGTACTCAACTGTAAAAGCAATTCGTAATGTTCCATCGTTTTGATTATTAATTTCCTTTCCAGAATGATTTTTCCAGCGGTGTCATTACCTGAAATCAAATATCCAATTAATTGAGTAATTAAAATTGTTTAATCGGTGTGTTATTTAGATCTCCCCGATTTCTCTGTCGCGATTTCTTCGGGATGTACATTTAACATCCGGTGCAGACATCTTAGGATTTCTACACTGAAGAATTTGGAGTTGTCCAGAGAGAGTAATCATGATCCCAATGACAAAAGTGTCATAAAAAACGTGGAATGTGCCTGCGTAGGTGAATGCGATGAGCTGAGAGCAGTAGATCGTCCAAAAACCGAAGTCTTCACTGAAATTCGAGGGAAGCCATATCTTGAGTGGAAACGTACGTTCCGGGATATCCACCAGAACCGATGATACAATCATATTAGCAACAGTGAATTCCAGACACGAACACAGTATTATTGTAGATTTCCTTAAAAAAATATTAAATAAAAAGCCGAATTGATAGATAATCTACAAACAAATTATCCCATTTTTTCAATTTCTCCAATTTTTCCTATTTTTCCAGTCGTATCACCTGACGCGTCGGTGATATTTAATCCTTAATAGATCTTCTTCAGGGCTGAGGGTCTGGCATTCCTTGGAGTCCAGAAGGCGAAGTAGCTCGATAATTCCCTGGCGGTTCGTCAGGATGTTAACAGCTTTGTACGAGAGATTGCATCCTACTGCAAGGATATAAATCGTATCAACAAAATCGTCGATTCTTCCCACCGACATGCAAGCGTCAATAAATTGCAAGACACAGGTTACAGATATTATTCCAATAATCACGAATGAGTACGTATTGTACAAGATTTTTTTCCACAAGGACGATTCACCGAGTGGCCAGACGCCACATGCTGTGAAAACAGATATGTGAAGTGACAGGGGTTCCTCCATTATCAAGTTATGACAGTCAGTCTTGGTTTGACGTCTCCCCATCTCTACACCAGAATTTTCCTCCGTTATTATAATAATTGCCCATGAATTGTTTATGATGGAGACAGTAGCTTCATCGTCCTTTCTTTTTTACTTTCACCTCTTCATTGCGTGACATTGCAACTCCGGAAAGAATGACATGTCATTGGACTGGATGAAACGACTTTGCGAAATTACACAGGTGGAAAAATTGGGGATCGATCGATAGGAAGAATATTATCTTATGAGTTGTGAGAACTTGTGGTTGATGTCACGTGGCGAATTTTTTCACAGAAAAAATATTTGTGGATTTAGAATTATTTCGGGTTATCTGGAAGAACTCTCACACTCGGTTCTTTGTTCACCCCAAGTTCCAGGAGAAGTTGAAGAGTTTTTGGTGGAAGCACTAGGATTTTTTCTGGGGATTTAACAGGGGAAAGGATTTATTAAAAAATACTGACAAATGCTGTTTTAAATGATGTATATCATTCCGACTGGATTCCTCGACTCCTTTCTTCGATCTCGAATAACTATTTCCATCGGTTGTGATCTCCAAAATCCATCTCACGATTTCGCTAAAACGCTGAATGTACTGTACGTCACTTTCATGAGCTGTAGACAAATAAATCGCCAAGATAAATAATTCTGGTGATTCGATTGTTTCCTGGAAGCAACGATATCGTTTTTAGATAATGACTTATCATTTTCACTGACGTTTTTGAAGGACTCGACCGAGAGAATGCACAGACGACTGCACGAGAATTTAATGGAGTACTGCATCTTGTGGATGACCATCGTGACATCTCTGACAGTTCCAACATTCAGAGAGTACCACTTGGAGGTGTAAAGAGAATTGCCGATGTTCTCGCTCTGATAACAGTTGAAATGTTTTCTGGATGATTTCTGTGGAATTTCGATCTGAGGTCGAGGGAAATTCACTGCTGGATAATTTCCAACAGAAATTTCTTTTCCGTTGGGATTTATTTTCAGATCGCTCTACTCACCTCTAAGATCACTTCGTTACCGTACCAGCAATAAAAAAACGTCTGGATGATCATGCTGGAGCAGTACAGAACAGCGAATGTGAATTCAGGATCACCAACTTCTAGATTCACTAATTTGTAAGCTGATACACAGATCACGAAAGAGCTCACCGAGTACTGGATAAATATCACGTACACTATGATATTATTGAAGGATTCAGCGAACCTGAAAGTCCAGAAATTAATCAATCAATTTAAATGAATCATCAATATTCTCAATTAGTCAATTAGTCGTTTTGATTTTGTGAAGATATTAATTAGGATTTCTCAACTGTTGCAGGAGCTGGTGATGCTTTATGGAGCTGATGACGAATTCCTTCTCCAGGGTACTCCGATCGACTGTGGATTTCGTGGTCAACAGGGACATCTCCGAATTTCTGTACTGCAGGATTTTTAATTGACTGCAGAGGGTGAGCATCACACCGACGATGAAGGTGTCGTAGGACGCGTGGATCATCCCCACGTATATCAGCCCCAATACCTGGTGCAGGTAGACAGGCCAGTAGAGGCCATCGTCGTAGCTGAAGGGAACCCACGCCTTCAAGGGTAGAGTTCGCTCCGGAATATTCTTCACCATCGATGTCAATATCATCGTGACACACGTCGTCTCGAAGTAGGCGCACAGGAATTTCGTTCGGTTCCTTTAATCACAGGATATTTAATTAAAGGGGATCCCCAGGGGATGGGAATTGAGGTGAAACTTCTTCTTCTGTTCCAGAGGATTCAGATTTTATTCAGAAATTTTTTCCATTTCCCACGACTCGAGGGAAAATCGAGACAAATCCACGCGTTTTTTTTTCCGGAAGTTTCACCTCCGGATTATTCACCAAATTCGCTGATTGCAGGTCTTCTGGATCTCCTCCTCCACTGGATTTTTCGTCTGGCAGATGTCGGCCTCCAGGAGCAACAGCAGTTGGACAATTTCTCGTCGTTTCTTCAACAGATTGAATATCTTCCATCCTAAATTGAAAACTGTTGCACAAGTGTAGAGGGACTCGACGAGATCGTTGATCCTCCCGATGGATCCAAATACCCCGATGAATTGGAAGCTGAACATCGAATAGAGCATCACAGCGACGAAGATGCCGTACGTCTGGTACAGTATTCTTCTCCAACCGGATGACCATTCCGGTGGCAGCCAAACACCGAATCTCGTGAAAATTCGAAAATTCGGGGAAAGTGCTCTCGTGGTCATTTCCGTTGAGTTTTTCTCGATTGAATTGTCTGGAAGGACAGGGAGCGACTGACGGAGACTCGTCCTCTGGGGGTTCCAACCACCTAGAGTCCCCTGAATCATAAATGAAAACGTTTACCTTTCGTTCACTTGGTAATGCCTTTCGTTTATAATTCAGGGGATGGGGTTGTCTTGAGGGAAACGGCAAGATGTTTTCTTTAGGGAAGTAATCGATGGGATAATGTCTTACACGCGAACCCCCGGGGAAGTTCCACTGGAATTCTGTTTCTCTGTTGCTAAAATTCTGACGGAAAATTTGTTCGTAATTGAATGAAATGTTTGATTATTAAATTGTAAATGGAAAGGTGGAATTACAGACGTCGATCATTCCCCAGTTTTCGAAATGGATTTATTGCGTGAGTTTTTAATTATTTACTGAATTGTCATGCGTTTTTTAATAATTGAAAGTTAGAGATTAATTAATTGATCTCCGATTGAGCCGTTGGTCTCATTTTTTTGTGGAAATGAATTTAATTGATTATTTATGGAGATTGAGGGTTCGGGAGAGGCATAAATGAAAGGATAATATTTAGAACTTGGAAATCATATTTATTAACGTTGAAAAAAATTAGGTACAAGTTGTCTTATCGACAGAACCACAGTTGCTTGCTAATATCTCAGTCAGTGATTAATTGGAAATGAGGATTTTAGAGGCCCCCACGGAGACGGAGGACTAAGTGAAGAGTGGATTCCTTCTGGATGTTGTAATCAGAGAGTGTGCGTCCGTCCTCCAGCTGTTTTCCAGCGAAGATCAATCTCTGCTGGTCTGGGGGAATCCCCTCCTTGTCCTGGATTTTAGCCTTGACGTTTTCGATGGTGTCTGAAGCCTCGACCTCAAGGGTGATGGTTTTCCCTGTGAGAGTCTTGACGAAGATCTGCATGCCTCCACGAAGTCGAAGGACCAAGTGGAGGGTAGACTCCTTCTGGATGTTGTAATCAGAAAGAGTGCGTCCGTCCTCCAGCTGTTTTCCAGCGAAGATCAATCTCTGCTGGTCTGGGGGAAT